TGGACATTGTCATCGGGTGACTGCTCGGCATTCGCGCGAGCTTGCAACCCCTCCCTATGTAATCCTCGTCCTGAAAACAGGACACAAAGCGCGGGTTCATCCGCGAACCATCAGAAATCCTAAGAACAGTCTCGCACAAAAAGCTATGGAATTTAGGTCTAATTTTGTAGCGAGGTCTGCACTCTTTGAGTGCAATCTCCCCCAACTTCACCACACTTTGCGCGTAAACCATTCCCAGGTTTACGAGGCGTGAAGCTTCCCCGTTTGACAGCCACATTTGGGCCCCATCCAAAGTGGTACTGAACGTATGCAAAGACCAGCTACATACTGCTTGCACCCGCAAATCTTTTGAAGATAGAGATGCTTCCTTAGTTGCTGCGCCCATGTTTGATCGTTTTGTGTGTTGTTGTCCAGTTTGCGTGTTTGCACTGTTTGCCGGGCAAGTTTCATTCAGCCGTTCCGTCAAAAATGCCAGCCTCGGTGCAAAAAATTGGACTGTGTGTGTTTCCCTTTAGGACGGAAATTGAAGTTTTCAGCTGAAGAACAAAACTCGGTTGGTAAAGGCATTGCCCGATGCTTCAGGGTAGTCCAGTGTAACTGCATCAAGGGCATTTACAAGTATGAAACTGGGTTGTGGCAAGGTACTCCATTCCTCAATCGTGCACGGGGGGGATCTTGTGATCTTCACAGAAACGTCGCGCATCAAGCGTCATTGCATGAAGTTTGTCATCCCAAGCACTGAAATCTTGCCACCATGGTCCAAATTCGCATAAGTCCATCATGAGCGACCCGATGGTGTCCCGGGCAGTTCCAAGCCAGACCGAATGCAATATGTCTGGATACTCACAACTAATGTGCCACCCTGACAAATGTCGTATAGCCACATTCGGCCCAATGCCTGATATCAGACTCTTTGAGTTTGGGAGATCTGGAACCTATTTTAGTTTTACAAAAGACAAACAAATACCAATGCACACATGTTTAATAACATGCGAGGCGCAATTTCTTGCAGCAGCGTCCATATCCGCTTGGTTGTGGAATGCCATGTTTGTTACATCCAACCACGGTTTGGAACCATCTGATCCCGCCAAACACCGCCTACAGACCATGTGCGGTCCATCGGAACCTTCTTTCTTTGCCGCCCTCAAATAAGATCTTGGTTCATCCAACCACTCCTTCTTAAATTTCCAATCCCCCTTCCCTGCGCAATAGTGCAAAGAAAGTTGGTCACCATCAGGCATGTGGGCACACTCGTTGAACATCCTGCGAATTCTTATACGCAGAACTGATGGTTGAACATCAAAGACATGTCAAATAGTTTGTTGCAACCCGGCCTGACATAGTGTTTTTGTAGCATTTCCAATGTCAAGTTCCGTTTGCCATCGTACGCAAAGCACGTTGAGCGCATAACCTTGCAAGCACAATGTTACCACTTCTTTGGGGAAAAATTCAATATGATATGCCTCACGTACAGCGCCCGCCCAGAAACCGCAAATGGAAACTTGCATGAAGTTGATCGTTTGTGGACGCCAAAACTGCTCCACGAAAGTACTAAAACACTTTTGTCCTTCTTTCCTTGACCTTCATCGCCGTGAGCAGCTATCCCAATTGCCCGTTTTCTTTTCTCAGCCGGCCACGATTGCACAACGTGCGACCTCAAAATCCCAAAAAAGAAGGAACGGCGTATAAGGCGCATGTTTGCAACTGGGGTTGGTACCGGCCCCAAGGCTCGCTATTGGCTGCTTCCCAAAACTCTAGCCAGTCGAAGTCATCCCCCTCCCTCAGTCTGCCCACGCACACGGGACGCAAAGAACCGGTCAAAACACATGTGTGTGTGTGCCCACGCAAAGCTTCAAGAAACAGCTCACCAGCAGAACCGAGTCGCAAGAGATGATTTGCTCCAGCTTTGGCCACCGCATCGAGCATGACACGTGGGTTCATCACTGGCCACTTCTTTTGAGTGATGGGTTGGGGGGCTGCCCCTGACTTCGTAGGTTGATGTTTCTTTCCTTTGGTGTTTTTGGCATTCCGCACGTTGAATCTGCGTTTCTTGTTTGGTTTTCTTCTCAAAGCACGCGCTGCCTGCTTGTCAACCACAGGGATCACAACATACGAGATTGGGCACTTGATGATGGCCTTTTGCGTTGCGCCCGCAATCACGCGTACCAATAACAAAAAATGTGTGACAAAACTGTGTGACATGGTCAAGGCGCGTCATCAGATCTTGAAAGAGCTTTGTGAAAGGTATCCTCTGTGTGGTAGGTCCGTTTGCCGTGGTTTCCCAATCTGGCAGCCCATCGGGTACCTTACGTTCACCGTTAACCCCAAACCGATCAAACAAAGTGCAAAAAATCTTTGAGCAACTAGCTTGCCCAACCTAACTGGCCTATAGAACAAGCTGCGACTTGTTTTAAATTAGTTTTACAAGTTGCTTGCACTCACATGGTCTTCCCCAGATTCTAGAACAGCAGCCTTTGCAAACTTCTGCAACAGTGAAGCAGCTGCCCCCCTTGCCAATGTGCTCAGCCGCAGTTCGTGCTAGAGGGCTGTCCCGCAAACTAAGCCTATCGGGAACCTGTTTCTTTTTTCTCGGATTTTTCAACAGTAAAGCCAATTTTTTCATGGCCTGGAACCGAGACTTCTGCCACGCAACAGAAACGAAAAGCATTGTTTGAGTTATGTGCGTGTCAGCGTTTCGTTCGACTTCCGAGCGGTGAAGGGGAAACCTATTTTCACTGTCGCCATGTGTGCCAGATCTCTGTCGTGGACTCAGCTTCCCACAAAACATTGGTTGAGAAAGAAAGGATACACGCTCACAACTTTACGACGCGCAAGTCATCGTAGCAACACACACACAGGAACCTATATTAACGGATGGTAAAATCGCTTTGAGAAAACCAATTGGTGGAAGCTTGAAACTGATTTGACCCTTGGCCGCGGCAGTAGTCATCACCTGTTTCCAGCAGGTGTTCCGACTACATGCAGCCCAAACCCCCGAGCGTAACCCGCTCCGTGTGAAAAAAAGGTTCACCTAAGCAGCTACTCAGTCTTTGCCTTCTTTGTGCGAGATTTTGCTTTCCCTGATGCCTGCAAAGCCTCGCGTTTTGCTGCAGCGATCCTGAGACACCGTTAACACCAACACCCCCACCACAAAATGTCAAGTGGACACAAAAA